ATCACACTGATGGAATGTTGTTAACATGTTACTGAACACAAAAGACCACATACTATATGAAGGACGAGAGAAAAAAAGCAACAGTTCAATAATAAATAGTAGAAAAAAGTGTAAAAACCCAAACACATGCACACACACACAATGCCAATTGAATATGAGAGCATAAAACATTAATGGCATCACCGTTTTCGATTAGAGATGAAAACTAATGAAGTGTGGTAACAATGACTAATGCGATTTAGAAAGCATTTTAGGTAAAAATCGCTTCTCGCTATTTGCGTCAACCCATTCCTCTTATCTCTCTACCTAATAGATTACAGTCATTTATTAAAGTGTTGCCAAATTTACACACAAATTTATTTTTGGTCCATCTGAATTCGGTTATACGAATTTGTAATTCGAATTGCCCATTCACCATACGAAACCAAAATCACATAAAAACGAACACACCGACATCGATCTGAATGCACATTTGGAATGAACAGTCATCATTTCGATCAGCCAACAATCGAAAACCGAGAAACGAATTGACTTGGTTCACTCCACGGAAAAACCCAAAAAGCAAATGACCAAAAAACAAACAAGTCATCGAATTGTCTAAATTACGTTGGTTTATTTCCAATGGTTTTACTATTATACTTGGGATGCTTTTGCTAAATTATGGCTGATAAACTCTTATAGTATTGCCCTTTTGTGCGTATGTTTTCTCTCTCTCTCTCTCTCTCTCTCTCTCTCTCCCTCTCTCTCTATCTCTATCTCGTTTTTTTGTTTGTTTAAACTTCAATTTATTGTGGAAAGTATGTTGTGCGCATTTGAGCACAAATGATATTATGTCCCATTCTAAATGGCTCTCATTCTATGGATCTTTTGCTCTTCGGTCCCATACACACACACACACACACAAAATGACGTTGGTGCCTTGGCAAAAATTGTAGCGTATTTATTTCAACACCATCTACATATTGATTTATTCTTGTGTTCGACAGTTGTTTAGTGCTGGTTTGCTGGTCATGACTTCCAAATACACCAATATGTTTGAAGGTGCTGATGTGTAGCGGTATAGTTTACAGCTAAAATTTCGGTGAATGTACAAACATCATTTTGTGTGTGCATTCCCTATTTCGTTCTATATATTTGTTTGAGAAGAAGTGGTCTTCTTCACTAAAAGAGCATTTTCTAATCTTCATCTCTGCAAATTATAGTCATTGACTTAGCACATTCACACACTATTGTTTTTTTTTTTCACTTCAATTTGTCTTCATTTTCCATCTTGTTTCCTCATGCATCGTCATTGATGCCATTCCAATGTGGTACAGACCCATCATCCCATCCGCCACAGCCACAAGCAATCCAATAAACTTTGAAAACGAGTATCGGAAACGCCTTCAAATCTTCTGTCAACAGAGAGAAGAAAAGTGACAACATCTACAAAGCCACTACGATCTTCTTTCTCTCTCTTTCGCCGTGTCACTTTTTCTGTCTTTTTCAATCTCTTTTCGACATTCTTATTTTGATCAATACTGAATCGTCCTTCACATTTGTGTATGCTGGGAATGAGATTCGATGCATTAACAATGAATCGCATCTGGATGACAAAGACAAAAATGCGTGACAACAGCCGCTTCATCGTTGACAATCTGATATTGTTATGTATATTTACAGCAAACAAATTAAACTTTATACGGGGATGTACTTGCCATCAACGTAAGTAATTTTTTACCATTTTATGGCAGTCGAAATGTAAACCCAAAAATTGTAACACAACGCGTGCACACACACACACACACAGAGAGAGAGAGAGAGAGAGAGAGAGAAATGCTCAAACCAAAACTGACTACACAATTTATGTGGAGCTTTATGTTTGAGTTTTTACCATTTCATGCTTTCTATTTTTCTCTGTGTGTATGAGTGTGTCTGTGATCCGAAATAACCGTGGTGTTTAAAATGAGAGATAGCAAAGTGGAAGTCGTTTGCGTGTTCGAGCATCGTTTTATTTAACTTTCACAGACTGGAATGATAAGATTGTGAATGAATTGGTATTAACTATGGTATCTCGCACATGTATTTATAACAGCATCGATACTACATAGTATTGTAGTCACAACGCTCTTTTCATCGTAAACAAAAATACCAACAAAAAAAAGCACATTTCAAATTGTAATGAGATTTTACCCTTTGCATTAATGCTGAAACAACCCCCTCCCCCCAATTGTAACGTTAAATTTACCAATTTGCCGAATATTTTTGGCAAGTTTCCAATTTCATATTTAATTATTTTACCAGCGGTATATGTACTTCCGTTTGGATGATTCTGATCAATGATAACACACATCGGTCGCTTTCAATTACACCGTCAATTAATTTTAATTCTATTCTCTGATTAGAAAATTGAAGAAATTCCACCAAATGTATTGACTTTATTAGTTTATTTAGTTGGTTCGATCAAATTGATTTTTTGATATGCTCCATTTTGTTCATACAAAAAAAATCACGCTAATTTTCAAGTGTCGCTGGCACACTATTACCAATTATAAATTTCGAATCAGTTCTTAATATTTTTATTGAAATTCGGCGTACTGCGTTTGGAGCGAACGGAAGACATATGAGTCTTAAGAACAGCTTCTAGTCAAACGAAACATTTTTTTTTATCCAAAGAGATCATAATCGACGACGAACATGTCGTTGATCGAAAGAAAAACCAATTTTATTCTTATCATACTATGAGCATCGATGGTTACACATGTGAAGCAAAACGAAATGTTTGATGCTCCAAAACAAGAGATAACACATTGTAATTTCGGGATTTGCATACAAATGGAAATATTTTCGATTTCGACACAAACACATATACATTCAATACGTTTGCTTGAGTGTTGGAGCAAAAAAAAGGAGCCCACTGTATTGTCGTTTGATACTTTGAGTTCATCAAAGTAATTTCCACCTAATCTTCACAAAAACGCATTTAAGAAATGACATTATGTTGATGTCTGTGTGAGTGTTTTCGAACAAATATTCGATTAAGCTTCAATTCTCTGACGACACATTTACTACTCGCTATCGACAATTGGAAATCTCACACTTTATCGAATCGTTGACCGAATTAGGTTTAAGTACATTTTCCTTAAGTGTGTTTCTCTCTCTCTCTCTCTGTGTGTGTATTTGGTGTTTGCAAATAGAAATTTGTTAAACGCTTTATTCCATTTCAAAATTCCGGTCTTTTCCACGAACGCATTCCACACATCCACGCTATTTGATGGAAACGTATGCGTGTCTCGATTCAGTTGTTGCAATTTTCAGGTGATCAATTCGACCAAACTATATAACTGAACGTTTTCACGAAAATTAATTTCTTCGTTGATATGAGTGAACGTATCGATATATTCCCATGGTATTCACACTTACCGAGTTCTAATTCAAAATTCACACAGAAACTAAAATGAGCAGTCAAATTGATGATACGAACGAAGATGGACAAAAAACTGAATTCAAAATGACTACAGATACATGGATTTAATGTGATTTTAAAGGGTAGCTAGAAAGAGAAATCGCACCGAAAAGAAATTGATGTAAAAACCATTGCCAATAAACGAAAGCAGCTCAAGTATATATATATACGGACGGAAATAGTTGTCAATGTGAATGACTTCATATTTATTAGCCTGTCTGATTCTGGCTGAGATTGTAAGTGAGCTGCTCCTTTTTTTTCTTATTCTCTATCTATTTCTTCCCATTTTTCTGTTATCGTTGATTGATATGCAAACGACACGACTAAATAATGTTTCCCACTCTAAGCTAATCGCGTTTAGTAACGTTCAACGGTGCTCACTTGGATCTATGTAGACGAAAAACGAATGTTAATGGGGCACCTATTGCATGGATATTTGTTTAAATCACTTGAAATCAAATTCGATCGAAATTCATTTGGTAATTGTGGTGTATGTGACATTCTCTTTCGTTCATTGGATGCTGCTCTTGTTGTGTGTATGTGTGTCTGCCGAAAAGCGAGTATAAATTCTAACGATCGAGAATCTGTAGAGCAGAAAAGGCTTCATTGCTTTGGCTATTTGGATTTGGAACGTACATTATCGGTTGCGCGGGATGTCGACGACAACAACAAAAAAAAAAACAAAAAAAAAATCAGAACGAAAAATCCATTTGCAAGGGTTCGAAGCAGGTTGTGGTGACAACACCACAAAGCAACAATGTAAATGTCGTGCAAAAAAAACGAAAGTGCTGCATTGCAAAGTGTATTTCATCATAGCATTAGCGAATAAAAATGTTGAAAAAAAAAAGAAAATACTGTGAATAAGAGAAATGGAGGGAAAAACACATGAAATTGAACGAAGTGTAGCTGAAAAGCTTTGTGTCGTGTGATTTTCTTCTTTTTTTGCATCTTTGAAGCAAACAGAGACAAAAAAAAGAATGTGATCCAGTACAGAGAAAGGATTTTCAGCTATTTTTTTTCTTTTGCTTGGGAAAATTACAAAATGCAATAAATTTGTGTGGATTAAAGCTAGACAAATTTTTATCCATTTTATTTACATAAATGCACACATCCATACACGTATACCAATTCAGTACAGTTTTTTCCGTGTTTGATGCCAGATTTTGCAACATTTTTTTGCGGTCGAAATAAAAGAATCGAATGAAAGCGATAGACAAAATGGTCATAGGTTCTACGCTTTTTTCCTCAGTTTCTTTTTATCCGTTCGTTTCCACTGGGTTGTGTTGATTCAGAAAAAGTACTGGTTTATAACGAAAAAAATTCACTAGTTTTGTCGAGTGATTCCACAAATATTTGATGATTTTATTAATAAAATATCGGGTTACTTTGGTAAAATGACCTTTCACCTTTTTTCCAAGAGAATTTCGTTTGCACTTTTTGACATTGTTTCCTTTCATGGTGTGAAAATATTCGATTGAGTTTTTTTTGGACCCGGAATTAACAAATAAGAAATATATGTTTCAAGCAAAAAATTTAAAGAAAAAAAAAGACTTACAGTGTATTCTCAAGTTGACAAAGGCACTTTGATTTTCGCCACGATCATTAGCGGCTGCACATCCATAATTACCTATTTAATGTTGTTATATAATATTTAATAGAATTCTTTATATGTATGCAATGCAATAGATATATATGTTGTATCCATAATTACCAGCATGATAGCGTGCTACACGTTGCAATACAAGTGACCTAGTTGATATGATAACGCCCCAAGACACATTTTGATTGACCAATTGACCCTAGAAAAAAACACACCAGAAGACAACAATAAAACGAGAGAATGAAAAAATGGAAATGCGAGATGATGGAAAGTGGAAAAAAAAATACATAGAGAGAGAGAAAATGGGAACAAATTTAGAATTTCCATTCGCATGCTTTGTTTGGTATTTAAATCTGTTGAATTCAAGTTAACACAGTTTGGTGTTTGAATTAAATTGAAAATCCCATCATTCTGAACTTTAACATTTCATTGATTCCTTTTGCTTATGTTGATTTGGATTCTGCTATTGAAAACCATGATGAGGGAGAGTTCAATGTTACAGACACAGCAGTGGCAAAAGAAAATAGTATTGGCAAAAAATGGCAACATTAAGGAAGAGCAAAAGAATTTGTGCGGAAATTGAGTTCAAAAACAATTTGGAAAATAATATGGTTCGATTTAAGGCTGTGCCCTGTTGGTGTCAAAGTTATGAACTTTGGAACAACAAAAATACGACCTCCTAAGCTTTCATAAGTTACATTCGCTTTTCACACTCTTCCCCAACCACCCATTTTTTTATAAGCGAAAACGAAATGCTGACGAAAAAAACTTTTTCCGATTGTGTTTTTTTTTTTCTTGGCGCAAAAGCTTCTTCCGACTGTTATCTATTATCGCAAACTGTGAATTTTCAATTTTTATGATTTTCGACGTTTTCATTTATTTTTCACCTGTTTGATGTGCCCATTGAACAAAAATATTTATTTTATATGATGACTGAAGAAACCAAGTGACAGTGGGCGAAACGAAGTTAAGTGAATGAAAATTGCGAAATAAATTAACATAATTTTTTTACGATGCATTTTTGGAGTTTTTTTTTATTTGTGTTTTTATTAAATTTGATTTGCATGAAAAGCATACCGAATACCAGTCGAAAGGCATTCGCATCTCGGCGCGATTTTTCTGTATATATATTACATTGTTTATTTTTTTATGTGACGCATCTCAATTTACAGAGCATTGTTATGAATGAAATAGTACCCATTGAGCGGTATGGATAGATTAAGGATGTGAAGTACTTTCACCGCAACAGCATAGAATTTTATTAAAAATGCTCATTTTTGTTTGGCATCGTAATAAGAAATATAAACATATATTGAATGATGTTGAAGACGAATGTTCTAAGTTTGGCAGCTATGATGGCGATTTTATTAGAACTACATAGCAATAGAAAATACTAATTGTAAATGACAGGCAACTAACGCTCGTCATTTCACCTATAAAAACTATTACGATTACAATTGTGTTTCATAAGTCGTAAACATATTCAGTCGTATTCGGAGGTATGACTGCGTTGCTTTCGTGCCTAATTTATTTTTACGTGTTCTGCTTTGATTCAACAGACAAAGTCAATGAATTGAATTAATCGAATGGCAATTGCTGTACGATTTGTTTGCAAAACTGTTTCGATAAATAAATGTTGAAAAGAAAAAGAATCCACGAAAGGTCACTTCGTCGCACGCGTTTTTCTATTCATACGATTAATGTATGAATGAGCGAATAAATGTTCGAAGCGTTTTTATATAAATGTGTCATCATCCGATGAAAAGTATTGGTCAAATGGTGCAAATAAATGAAACGGAAACGCCAACACAAGCAAACTTGATTTTGTAGCATTTTCATGTTTTATGTATATATATTATGATTAAATGTTGTTCATATTCATAGAGACGAAGATTTTGAATTCATAATTAGCAGATGCGCAAAAACAGACATCATTTTCAACGATAACGTCTAATTTCCATGCCATTTTTTGTTGTTGTTGTGTGCTCACACAGCGGAAATAAGAGAAATGGCAAAATTTCTGAATCCGAAAACTGTCGTTTTGAGTGAGGTTTACGTTCGCGATATTATTTGTGGGTTGGTTTCAATTGTTTAAATTTGTGCAAAAATTGAGATGAACGAAGCGACGTGAATTATCGTAAAAGTAGCGAATAAGCAAATGTTTTGCGCGTATTTTGTGTAGATTTTATCCCACAAATGAAACTGTGTACATACTGTTTATGCTTAAAATTAAAATTCGCTTTTCTCTCTCTGCTGCTGCTGCTGCTGCAAAATAGTTTTGTGTGGAAGCATACAAGTGCGACGATTTTATATATGAAGATGCGCCGCATGGAGCGTATCAGCGAATATACATCACATTCATGCTCTATCTCTCGCTCTACATTATAAATGATATATACATACAAAAAATATTTGGTGTACTTACGTCATGATACCAAGTGATGCGATTCTCTTTCGGGTTTGCTTTAATGTGACATTCAAAATAAACATCATCGCCCTCCTTGATATCGTCTGGATTTAAAGTTGATCCCAATTGTAAAGTCACTTGCGGTTGGTCTGCACAGCGTCCCACACACAATAGCAGCAAAATTGAACGTCCAAGCGCAATTGTATGAGCAAATTAACGACAAAATGAGGCCATGCCAGAGAGTTGGAAATAAAGACATGGAAATTGTATCAAAAATGTTAGTCGATGAAAAAGCAAAGCTTGGAATGAACAAAAGAAACGACAAAAAAATATATAATACATAAAACATTTTCGTTCGTCAAAACTTAATGCCGAACGAAGAGAAAAATAGCTGGGGACAAAAAAAAAACTTTTATCGTCTTGGTACTGGTGCTTCAACTGCTCATTTATTTGATTGAATTTAGCCGTCTTTATGCCATGGCCAACAAATGAAATGCTCTTGGTTTCTTCATTCACAATTTTACTCTCACTATCAATGGGGTTGTGCTTTAATATATGAAACTAAAGTGCAAGTTAATTGTGCTCTGTCGATGAGTGTCTGAATCTGCTTTTTATTTTATTATTCGTTCATAGTTTTTACCTCAAAAAGCCTTTTTTACCATAAACCAACTCGGTTGCATGAATTAGAATTTTTCTAGCTCTGATTTCATTCATAACATTTTACATGACTGAATCAGTGATTCGCCTAATGGCTATCGTCATCGTCAACCGAACACACGATCAGCTTAATAAGATGAAATCCTTTTTACTTATTTTCTCATTTGAGCCATCGTTGAGTACCTTTTTTGCAGTTTAATCTAGATAACAATGCAATGCTTTTTTTCTATCTTTTTCTTTCTCGCTCTCTCTCTCTCTCTCTCTCTCTCTCTTTCTCACACACACACACGTATTCTACCGTCTCTAGTTTTCTTTTGTAATTAAGTGGTAAAGTTTTTTGCTGTGGCATTTCATCTGTACCTTTATTTTCGGCACAATACATATCCAGATATATTCAGCGTCATCGAACATGAAATCAAAAGATAGATGAAGAAGTTTAACAGACTTAAGTATAAAATTATTTCTTTTGTTTCAACGAAAGTTCCCCACATCGATTTCGATGTGCACATCGACATAGATTGTCTAATATTTCTTTTAGTTTTTATGCGATTTTTTTTTACTTTTCCCCACACACCTAGTGTGTAAGGGGAAATTATTTTATCATTGAACTAAAAGTTAGAATGAATGAAAGTGATGACTTTGTTTTTGCTAACGAATCTAAACTAGAAAAGTTTCAACCGAAAACGCATTCCGAAATGAGACGAAAAAAGTATTATAAAAATCTATAGATCATTTTTGCGCTGTCGTAGATTAGAGATCATACAGACAATGTACACAAATTATTGCATTTTAGAATATAAACGAGGACCCTCCGACCAATTCCAAAGAACAACAACACACAATACGTTGTTCATATAACATTTTGACAAAAGAAAGTTTATTTGGGCGGATACTAGCTGATATAGAATTTATCCAAATAGTGTGTTAGAATTCATTAAAAAAAGGTACCAACATCATAGAAAAGAAACTCACATAGCAAAAAGGACAACAATTTAAGCGGTCCCTTTTTCACAATTTTTTTTATTACTTCGAAAAGGTTTTAATATTTGGTCCGTTTTTAACAACCATAGCGCAGAGTTTTCATACATTTAAACAGACGCATAGCCATCGGCAAAATTATGACAAAGAACAAGAAGAGCAGAAGGAAAAAAATTAAACAAATAAAAATGGTCAGCCGAGAGAGAGAGAGAGAAAAAAAATGCACCCAGCTTTCACTATAAATTTTCACAAAAGGCCAAAACTTTTAATGTTCATTGTAATCTTTTCGTTTCACTACAGCAAAGACGCAGTTTTTTTTTTGTTCTCATCCTTTTTGGCCATTATTTGCAATTATTCCTATTCTTCAGTTTTTTTTTTCTGTTGACCACGCAAATTTGAACAAAAAAAAACATTATTAGCATTTAAGCACCGAATATTTTCGTCCATATTCCATTTCACACAAGTAATAATAGTTGAAAATGTGTGAGCCTTTTTGGTTTGTGTTCGATCAAATTTTGTTTTGATATGCAAAGAATTTCTGAAAATTGAATAACTTACACATGACGATTAACACCAATGAATCTTCCAATGCTGAGTTTGGTAACCGTGGATTTGAGCCTTCACACTTCAAAATGGTTCCATCATCGTCGGGAATTGGACGAAAAGTAAGCGTTGATATCGATACACTGCCATTCGTATGCTGAACAATCTACAAAAATGAAGAAAATACAAAGATATGCAATTATTCAAATTGACACTGAACACGTCCTGTAAATTGAAGAGTGTTTAAAGGAGTGTTACACCCAAAATAAAAAAGTGATATATTCAAAACGAAAGGGAAATAAGTACGTGCCAATCTAATTTATGGCTTTATAAAAAAATGAATCAACAAAAAATAGAAAAAAAATCCCGGAAATAAGCTAAACAGTTCTTTTGGTTGGTGAATGTAATGTGCAACAGCCATGTGAAACGCATGATGAAACTGGAAAATTGAATGCACAAAGGGTATGTGAGTGTTGAAATAATTGCCGGCATTGCCACCATATTGAGTATTGCAAAATATTGACGATTACTTAATTTCCAAACGTAGTTTACTATTTTACATCGAGTATAAAGGTCGGCGCAATGAATCAGATCGTCCTATGCGTGTATGTTTGTGGTTTCGATGTGAGTCCCATATTTTCACATTACATAGCTTTTATCCACAATCTACATTTGTATTTCTATTAGAAGCAAAAACACATTCATTTTTAATTTGAATTCATGAAAAAAACTTTTTGATGCGCTCGAATAGAGACAAAAACATCATCATGCACCAGTTCAGTCACTTGCAAAACGAAGATAGCGAGCGATAACGAGAGAGAGAGAAACAACAACAACACTACTACCACCAATACGACCAATAATAAATTTGTTAGAGCAGCAATCGAAAGTAATGTTTTTGAAATGTGTATATGTGTAGAATCTGTTGCAGTATTCGGTTGTTTTGCAATGCATACGATTTGACTAAATTATAATTGCAATGCTTTGATGTTCTTTGGCACTCGAAACGATGGAAATTCATACGGTCGCAGTGCGAATTTATGCCATTTAATTTTTGATTTCGGTAAAGAAGATCGAATCTGTGTTGTATGTCGACTATATGTGTATCAAAATTTTATTGCAGATTGAAATTCATTCCGTAAATTAAACAAATGTATAGTGGTGGCGATGTTGTTATTGTTGTAAAATGTTGTTGCTACGACTGCACCGCAATGCCTAGTCAATCGTGTATGAAGCAAATGTTGCGGGCACATTTCAATGATATTTCGGTGTATATTCAGTGAACCTTAGCGACAAAAGCAAATATGAGTGATAATAACCGTGTCGAAGGATTTTCGCGCACCAAAGAGACTGAATGAAACAAATATTAAACATTTTTGATATTTATTTTACTTGAGTATTGAGCGCCACAGTTTCCTATTTTTTGATATAGATTCGATGTACCAAATCACATTGTTAGATTTCCGTTGTGTTATTCATGTGCACGCATTTACAAAATGTGGCATTGTAAAATGTAATTTTTGTTAGTGGACATTATTACATTATGTGCGGCAAAAATAACATACTGATTTCATACATATCCGCGACAAATTATTACAACATTTGAATTATTATGTTGCACTTTGTGCTATTTTTACGGTGAAAAAACCACAGGCAGTCATTCTTCTTCTTTTTTTTTAAATTTATTATGCCGGTGTAGCACCACAAAAACCAACTAATTATGACATTTAAACACTTTCAATACTTAATCGAGGGCCAGTGTTCATGGCCACAAACGTACACACTCTGACTGTTCATTACAATTTATTTGCAAATCCTTTTAATATGCTTCCACATGGCACGATCATAATGACAGTTAAATGCAAGAACAAACATTATTATGTTCGCGGAACTTAGACGACCTGATGGCCATATTTTTTGTTTGGTCATTGAAATTCAGATGAAATATGACGAATTTCAATTAATGATTCGCAATCGTGGTAATGAAAAATATCTTGGAGTTTGTTTGCATGCAAATTATAACGAAATAACATACTTATGACTTCAAGTAGCATTACTCTATTAGTTCACTGCAACGATTTATTTCTGTAATATTAGACATTTTTATCCTCTATTTTGAATATAATAATAATATTAGAATAATATCATTATCCTAGTTGAAAAATACAACTGCCGGAAAAACCGATCATTCTTATACAGAGCTCAGAAATTACAGACCGAATACAGAGCTCAGAAATTCAATGGTGGCAACCTTTTGTGTTATCATGACTTCATTTTTTTTAGTTTTCGCTTCAAATTCAAGGTCTTTCGACTAGTCAAGCATGTTTAAATGGATGAAATGGTACATTGAGGTGTATTAGAACCGAATTTACACTAGATAGGATGAGTAATATATTTGAATCAGAGCAGTATATTTGGCTGAATGAATATCCATTGATATTTTCAGATGCTGATTCTTAGCCGCTGAGTGCGTTAAATACAACGCAACATCAATACAAATGTTCATCAGACACATTTTTGCATTCTCTTTTGTGAGAAATTTCTCTAAATCTGTGTTGCTGTTACGTAATGTATCCAGTAACACTTTTTAATTGCACCTCAAAATTTTTTTCATTTTGCGAATATGTAGGTTTACATATCATCCATAACAAACGTGGTTCCGTCTAAAGATATAGTTTGTTTATTCTCGATAGTCCCTACATTTTCGAGTAAAACCTCTCTATATGGGAATGCCAACTCATTAAAGTAAACAAAACTGCATTAATTAAATGTAAATTAAAAATGACAAATAATTAATTTTCGTTAATTTGGCTTCCCACTATTGCGAATCTATTCGAAATGAAAGCGATATCATTTGACCCTTGTCCGAGGAGGTTCCCACTATTGTGAGATTATACTGTAAATCTACAAATTGTTTGCATTTGACATTCAAACCGTTTACTCACCTTTCCACGTTTAAATGGTCGATTATTTTGGGTCCAACGGATCTCCGTTTCAGGTATTGAACCGTCAACCTCACAGTTGATGCTGTACTCGATTTCAGAAGCGAAATGTTTTGGTTTTGATGTAATGTTTATTGACGTTGGTTTTACTGTATGTAAAAAGATGAGTAAAAAAAATTGTGAGGGTGAGAAAAGAGAATTTGATTTTTTTTATTTAAATAATGCCCGAACAGAAAAAATGGCATTCACCTTAATTTTTTCTGCCCAACATATATATAATATATTAAAACAAGCGTTTTTTTGTATTTGAAAATGAATATGCGTGGACGCTGTTCTAGCCAATTTTCATCCATTTCAAGTATGGAAAATGTTATTTTATTGTATTCAACGATTTTTGGAAAATATTTATGGTTATACGGAATATCGACTTTACACATTCATTCGGTATTTTTTCGTTTGATTGCATTGATTTAACTTGAAACTTATTCGCAATATAAAACATACAATTAATACACTGTCAATTATTTAGATTAAGATATGTGCACGTATGTTTTTTGTGCATGTTTTTTTATCCTTCATTTCATATTACTCACTCAATTGTTGCCTGTTTAATCCTGCAATCTATTTATTTGCTGAATTTTAATTACATGAAAACGCATGTGTACGGCAATGAAATGCAGCGACGAGAGAAAATTGCAATTCGTCCATCACATTGTTACGATATATCCCACCACAACTGGAACTGTGGCCTTTTCCATTGTTCCAATCTTACTTTTCCTCTCTCTATATAAATTTATGGTGGCCGAGCATAAAAATGACTCATAAAGAATCGCGAATCTTGCTCTCATTTATGGTGATAAACGAGAGCAGGAGATGTAACTCGTTCACGAATTTTATATTCTCAGCCATACATAAATGCATAAATACAAATGCACGCCGTACAATTTTCCATTGAGCCCTTATTTTTATTTATTTTATTGGGTTCTCTTTATATTTTTGGCACTTTTAATTGATGGGGCTTTGTAAGGTAGAAAAAAAAATTGAGTAATATGTTTGCTGTTCATTTTATTCGGACGCTTTTGTTTCCGGATGTTTGGCGGAATTGCGCTCGGAAAAACCTAAATTTATCATTTAAAAAAATACCGGTAAATATTTTGTACTGCACGACGCATATAACCGCGAACAAAAGAAGAAACGGGAGAGAAAATGAGCGAAAAAAATAATATGAAAATCGAAACCCCAACCGTGCAATGATTTTGTATAAAAAACGACAGAGACAAAAATTAAATGCGATTCAGTTATTTTCGCTTTTTTTTTATTGCCATCCGGTTTTTTTTGCTCTTTTTTCCATCGTTGTTGTTGTTATTGTTGTTGTTGACGCGTGCAAATGTGAACATTGTTGACGGTTTTTATTTGGACATCGACCAAAATCGAAACAATCAAATATAATCGATGCGGCTTGTACGATATATATACCATATTCCAGCTTTCACATTAAACCGCTACGTTTCATTTGCATATTTTTCCGTTTTGGTAACTTCCATTAAAGTGTGTATGTATGGGTGTGTGAGAGTGTGTTTTAAATATTTTGATATTAAATTTATTCAATTTGCGATCAAAAATAAGGTTTTAATTAGCGAACATTTTCTCATTTTTCGGACGCAATGACCGTACGCATGTAACTTTTGCAACAATGAAAGCATCTCCGTTTCGATTTCCATTTTGGTATTGTCGTTGTCTGTCGTCATCGTTTTTGCCATTTCATTCGCATAAACAGTTTAATTCGTAATTGAGCACAATAAATTATGCATTGAAAAATGAAGTAAACGGCCATATAAGCAAATGACCAAATATTCGAACTGGTTCCGAAACATTTTTGACACGCGTTAGTTTGCATTTCAAACATTTTCACCCATTGTTTCATATCCACTGAATTAATTGAACTGTACAGTTTATCAGTAATTGAGCATTTGTCGAAAACATGAACAGCATGCTCTTTTTTTTGTTTCATCATTTTTTTTTGTTTGATGCAAGTCTCATCTTGATATGCTTATAATAAATGGAAATTTTTCCAACAAGTTGGATTGCATTTTTTTATTATTGTTTAAATTCAAGCAAAAATTCTTTTCAAGTCAAATGCTGGAAGCTTTGCCAGTTCATTTCCATAATGGCATCACATCTTCTTGTCGAGATGTTCAATAGTATGTGTATGCATGTTTGTGTCTTTTTTTCTCGAGTTGGTGAAAAAGGCAACCTGATTGATGATTTGGTATTAAAATCTATTACAAAAGATAAAAATATGAATGTTGTACGCTCACACTCGAGCACAAAGCATATATATGAAGTTTTTTTTCAACTTTCCCATCGCGTTTTTCAACTTAATTTTTGTCATTTATCCGATAAAAAAAGACCAAACGATGCCAGAACGAAAAAGAGAGAAAGCGAATGACACGCATAATGAAAATTAAATTTGTGACATAGCAGTGAGAAAATCTTGCCGTTGCCATTTGTATGAAGAAAAAAAAACAGAACCGAAAGCGTTTATATGTAGAATATTTTTGTGAGAGTGAGATTTGGTGTGACAAAGTCTCACTTATATATTTTATTTGAAATTCATTTCAATTTCTTGACGGTTCGTCGATTCATTTGATTTGAATAGTCATTTATTTTCGTCGCAGTTCAGATGAATCATTCCATACATATATTTTCATATTCTGTATGCTGTTGCTATTTGTTATGAGAGCGATTGTTGTCCTGCAAATGAAAAATAAACATGACAAAAAGCGCTAAATGCAAACATATTTATGCAAAGCAACCTCCCAAGCGACGACTGGCTGATTAATAATGGAATCATATTTATGTGATTCGAAACATATCTCACAAGATGAGACGAGAGGGACAAAAAAGCGTTGAGAAAAAAATAGAATTAATGTAATTTTTAGTTTTTCAGAGAAGGAATAAATATGAGTACTGACGAGCACAACACTGTCTTTGCAGTAGTAAGAAGAATTTTTCAATTTCACACCGGACGAAGGAACAAAAAAAAAAAGCAACTCAAAGTCGACGAATAAGAAAATAAAATTAAACGACAAGAATTGTCAAAAGTCGGACCGTCGGAGTGGGAAACAGAAGAGATATGACGATGAGTAGAAAAAAGTCAGGTGTAAAAAAGGGCGCACAAATACCGTTGAACAATGTGAATACCATTTTCAGTTATAATGTCGTTCAGTTCATCACCTTGAGAAAAGCGTATGATTTCGACGGAAAGAGATGGAAAGATTTTATCTTTTGGGTGCTTGGCAACATTGCCAGACAGATTTGTATGTGTCATCTCTTAAAATGGCACTGTCTACCGTGTAGCATTTGGGTCTTCAGTAAAAATTGTTTATATTTTTGTTATCTCTCATTTTCCAGAAAACTTTGAAAAATGATTTTGTGGCGCACATCCCTGACGAATTATTCATTTCATTGCTAATAAATGGATTCAATTTGGCTAGAGAGCAGCGGAAACCGTGCCGAAAAAATAACAAACAAACAACAACAAAAAGATAACTCAACAGTTTAACGACTAATATACTTACGCAGCATGTCCAATCGTACGATGCGCTCAACAGGCGGTGCTAATTTTGTGTTTGATGCCTGACATCTTAGCGTACTATTATAGGCATCTCTGGTCAGATGGGGTATTTCCAGGCGATTAACAACAACATGACGGCCCATTGTGATGCCTCCAGTAGTTTGAAGTGGTTCACTACCGTTAAACCAAGATACGGTCGGCTCAGGTCGTCCTGGAAAATAAAATACATTCAATTAATTGAATTTCGAAAATTTCATCAAGATTTTATGTCAATGAACGATATATTTTTTTTTTTTGTATTTTTCAGAGGAATATCGCAAATGAAGGTGGGAGTCATGCAGACTTGAATATTCAAAGAAGCCAGTACTTTTCATATTATTGTATATAAAAAACACACAACGTGACACATTGAAGAGACCCATTTGAGCTGTCAAACACTTAGTACTCAAAATCCGTGGGATTTCCCATGTATAAAAACATAAAAACGTTAAATATACATTTTTATGAGATGATTTCAGACATAAAGCTGAAAAAAATAGTTGATCGTTTTTTTTTTTTAATAATTTATTAGTGTGGATTTCGTATATTAAACAGAATTGCATGCTGTAAAAAAATTGAACAGGCAGCTCGCTTTAATAGTTGATGTGTTATCTATCCGCGATCAATAGTGTGAATTTCGGCGGCTGTAGTGATAAACGTTAAAATTATTTGTTTAGTGTTAGTAGAGCATAGTTCTCTGATATAAAGTAAAGCTCGCGGTCTAGAAAATTTTCCTCGTCAGAGAGCTGTTGGAAACAATAATAATGGTAATTCTCGCACACTTGAAATCTTCATGAATATTCATAGAAGCTAGTACTTTTCATATATTGTTTAACAAACTAAATTGCTAAAAATTTCATACTTTGGCAAACGATATATAATTTGTTAATTTTATAACCATACACATTGCACACTCTATCAGCGGTTGTGTCAATGCAAACTGAAATGCAATTAAATTGTTGTAAAAGGAAGAACATTTGCCTCGTCAAAGTGCTGTGGAAACAATAATAATGGTAATTATTATGCACCTCAAACGCATTCCAAACACGCGCTGCAAACGACAACAATTCATGTATGTGTACATATAGTATTGCATAACAAATATATATTGTATGCGAATCGATTCTCGCGTTTTATGTATTTCAGAAATATTGAAACATCGTATTGAAACCGAAATACATAGAGAGAAAGAATGAGAGCAAAACATTCAATATGCTGCAATTGTTTCATGCCGCAACCACAACAATTTCAAATGTTGACAACTTATTGATTATTTGCAATGAAAGTTGGAAGAAGTATTTTGGAGCGTCTTATTACATGTTCCGTATTCGGTTCAGTACATTTTTCCCATATTAATCTGTATGCTCTGGCACTCACAAACTCTCTCTCTCTTTCTCTCTCTCCCCTTCTCTCATACACACATAGCGAACAACGAAATTAGTTTGTTAGTAGTTATCGACCAACAATAGTGAAAATTGCAAATTTCTCGCACAATGTGCATTTTCCGCAAATGTGCACACATATTCGAATTTGGTATTCGAACCATGTGCAGATATGTTTACGTGATAATTGGGTTTGTCAACTAGCGTATATTCCAATCTGATAAAAGCGATACGAAATTAAGTTGCGTTCTATATAAAATATTGCTTAATATCTAAATTATTTTTACCGTTTCGAAAACGGTGCATAATCGAGAACATAGCTTGCAATCGATTTTTTTTTTTAAATTCTTTATCCATGGCATTATTTTCGATTTGCATTCAATTCAAGTGATTTTCCACCATTTGGCGTAACCACAATCATAACGATTTTCGAAAATAAAATGTTGTTTGAAAAATGTCTAGACTTGGAAAATATTCGGAAATAATTTCTGCAAACTTATTATTTCCTTCCTATAGGTGATTAAAATATCGCATTGCCAATATGTATAAACACAAACAATAATAATTTTCAATTAATATTCAACAACACTTTTTTTTTGTGTTTCACGTGCTTCACGTGACCACTCATTTGATTTTAAGTCGAAAATGAACGAACCAAAAAATACATCACATTCGAAAAAGTGGTCGCATAAATTTCGTTAGAGTGAAATAATATTCAAATCGGAATAAAACGTGCTTTTACTATGCAAACCATTTTTGCAATATGCATTTGATAGAAATATATTTTTGTGATTGAAACTAGGGGCCGATTGTTAATTTCGGTTCTCGGTTTTCAGGCGTACCGAACATAATTCATCTCCCTCCCGAAATTATCTTTCATATTCACACAATTCGCGGTGTTTGAGTTTTTAAATCACCATTTCTTGTGTTCAGTGATCCTCCAATTTTATGTCAAATACGTACTTATGTGTCTGTGTATGTTATGAATGTACACAATCGATTTCCAGCAATATATTCCTCTCACACCAGTACATGAGAGTGATGCGAAGGAAATTCTGTGATCGCAATTCGTTGTGTTCAAATACATTAAGTGCACGTGCATAGTATTGGCATTTCCATTCACCAAATCGACTAATGAAATAATTTTAAAATGGAGAAAAAAAACGTTGTGCGCACACCCACACTTCAGCCTATGTTCATGTTGTGCATGCATTGGCGAGCGACCATTAGTCCCCAAATCCATCTATCCATCCACTAGAATGGATAATTTCCAATCAAAACTGATAATACACGTTGAAATGACATTTGTTTAATTTTGTAAAATGCTATCAAAGATAAATTAATGTGTGTGTGCATATCATTCTGGTCAAGTGGAGAATCGTACGAATCAGAATTTTTAAATATAAAGTTCAGACCAGATGCATTCAATTTGATGGCGAAAAATTGACTTTCTCAGTCCAAAGTTTCATTTTGGTCCAGGAAAAGTCAGTTGAAAGTCAATGGAAGGCTTTGTCAATCTCAATTTGTTTCTCTCGTCCATCCATCCATTAATCCTTCACCTCACTCAATAATAGATTTTCTCATTCATTCACACCAATCTTAAATCCATCCACCGACTCGCCTGAACTCATTTCATTGCATAATATGCGAGAACATTTGTTTGAAATACAATTTGCGATGCGACATTTTGATAAAAACATCAAATAAATATGTATAGTGGTGAATGGTGTATGTCGACGTCCAATGCTTGTTTGTCGGCACACAAAGCACGTAATCGTTTACATTTAAATTTGGTATGCGTGTATGTTGCATAGTTCTCATTTACTTGGCATTCAAAACAATTGAATTTGGAACGGGAACAAATGCATGTAAACTCAAAAATGCGGTTCGTTGATAGTGAAATTAAGCATCCCAAAAATGCAATGAATAGAATAAACAAGATCTGATAGTTAATTGGAAATGAACCGATTTCAACTCAATTCGTGAATTTATCATAATATGCACGTTTTGTCCTTTATTTATGTTTATTTCACTCACTTTTCGATATCGATTGATCAATTACATTTCGATTATAATTAAGATGTAATAATTATCCAGATGTGAATTTAACAAAAATGCCCACCATGCATAGCTGGTTTTCATAGAGCATTTTAACATGAACGCATATCCATTTATGAAAAAAAAAAACGACGAATGATTTATAGCTTGATTAATTTCCCATTCTCTTTTAACTGGTATTGGCAAAACATTTTCATATGGTTAAAAAGCTCGAAATATTTTAGATTCAGCCGCTCTTAATTACCTAATGCGTTTAATCGTTTCTATGGTTTTGCAAATCATAAAGAAATATAATGGTTTTTAGTAAAAGCGAAAAAGCACGTATCGAATGATGATGATGCAAAAACGTATGCAATTGTTTTTAGTTTATTTTATGCAAACAAATAGGGAAAAAAGTAACCAGCGCATTTCTATATATAAATATATCAATAACATAAATGTGACCAAAATGGGCACAAAATACTTCGAAACGATCGATATGTTATTACAATTTTACGTGCACTGAAAAATAAAATAAACAACATTGAGTAATTGGGATACGTAAATGACTTGGACGTGTGAAATTGACAAAAAAATAAAATAGCCAAATAAATAAATGGTTTTCATAGACGGTAAGAGAGATAGCGAAAGAGAGAGAGAGAGAGAGAGAGAGAGAGAGAGAGAGAGAGAGAGAGAAATGGAGTATGGAATAAACGAAGCGGCGCGGATCAAATACAAGTGATCCGCTTTAAGCAAAAACAAAATAAATGCACATCAAACATTGAAAATAACAATAAATTTTCGGTTGGTAATAACGCAAAAAAAAAAAAAAAAAAATATTTGGAACGTGTGCATATGTATCTTCAAACCATTGAATATCTGAATTGGAAATTCGAAATTTATTGGAATTTGCGTGTGCATTTCTTTCGTTGGCATTCTCCCCATATTCCATATGTTGTATCCGTAGAATGCTAAAGTGAATTTATAGCAATACCATTCGAAATTAAAATCCTGATGTTTAAATCATTATTCCGTAATTGTAGTTTTGCGTAAATTAAAATATTTTGAAAACACTGACATTTTTATTTGGAAACATTTCGCTTTGCACTCTCACACAGACACACACTCTCCTCCCCTCACTCTCTTTGTCTGTCTCAATGCCATTTGCACGAAAAGAGCAAAAACGGGGGCTGAGAATCTAATCAAACGAGCATCTCTGTGGAAGGACTAAACAATTGTATGTCATTAACTCATTAGTAGTTATTACATAGCTACTGTTGTTTAATCATATTGAAAGGAATTCGGTGTTTTGCGTCTCACAGAAAAACGGCGAAAAAAAAAATATATAACGAAAAAATAAAGATTTCTCTAATAAAAAAAAGCAAATTTACGGTCAATGGAGCTGGGTTCACGCTCCAAGGGTGAGATCTAAGAACGGAAAATTAATTACAGTAAATGAAAAGCGAAAACCATTTGCTTTCTATTCAGCGTTTTGTTTTGAATTTAGAAACCATTTACTTGATGTGTATATTCAACCAGCCGTACAGAGCGTGAGCGTACATTTAACACAAATGCATACATAGAAGAAGACGACGAGAAAAAAAAACACTCCTTTTTTTACTCTGTTCGAAGCAATAATAACAAATACAAAGTTGCCAAATTCCACTTAAATAATCACTTTTATGAGTATTTTGAAATCACTCATTGTAAAATATTTGCGAAAAATACCCAAATGCCTTATTCGATATACCCA